TAAGTTGCCAACTGTCCAATAGTAGATGTTAGTCTATCTCAAAATATCACACCCGGTCACATGGGTGTAGAACGACCGTATTCATGCATGTGGGTGGATGAGTACTTCCAGTTTCGTTCATCGTGAAAACGCTGGATCATGTGCGGACGATTGAGTTGGAGTTAACTTACGGCGCACCGCAAGGCATGTTCATCGATCGATGCATACGGTGTGTAGGACTGCTTAGAACGGAGACCGAAGTGCAAAAATCGAAAAAAACAGTGCCTCACTATCCTGGGTGGGAAACGTTACCACAGTACCACGTGAACATGTGGCCGGATTTGCACTACCCGACCGCATAAGTGGCCAACTGATGGAAGTGCCGAGTGGCACCGGTAAAAAGTGGCGACACCTCGTTTACGCCTCGGGCGGATTAAGTCTGCAACTTTTATTATCACGTGTGGTCCCACCATGTGTTAGCCTGAGGACAGATCAGATTTACTCTCGGTTGTTCTCCGTAATACGGTTCGTGCTGTGGAGCGATCGGGTAGCCCTACTAGATTTCAAGACGCACGCTGGACGCGATGCCATCGTCTGAGCAGACCAGGTCGAGCCGAGTGATATTGGCTCAGGCCATAGAAACTATGACCGCCTTATCTCTCATTGCTCCACTCATGGCCTGACAATCACAAACAACCAGTTCGCACTGGGTGCGAGTGATACTGCTACATGGACGCACCCACTGATTTGTCAAGTGCATCTGCTCGACTATGTCCTCATATGCCAGCGCGACATGCGTGAAGTGCGCATCACATCAAAGGACAAGTGACCGTTGCAGCCAGGGAAATGATAGGACGCGCATACCATAAGCGACCCGATCGGTTTGATGACAACAGCGCGACCAGTGGCACATTAGCGTTATCGAAGAATGCAGATTTGCGACGTATAAGGAGGACTTTGGCAAATCAGAGAAACACAGCGTTTCGCAAATGGCGTCGACATTGACCTCAGGAGCTCGTCGCATCAAGAATCCTTAGGGGACGGAGAAGGCCAAGTAGACGGAATGGTACTCCGTACGCCGCCAACATAAGGAGTCCTATAACTCTTTAAATGAGGTGTGTGGACCCACGTTGCAACCGCTGAGGGCGGTGGTGAACGCTACTTCGGGTGATGCCTACATACGAAGTGCAGAAATCATGCAGACATTGAGAAAGCACTCGGACTGTCCCTTGAACAACCATGCAAAGATTGGTTGGGCCACGTTGCACAGGCTGCAAGGAAAAAGTGGTGAAGAAGGGTTTTGCTGGCATCCCGGTTCTCTGTGAAACCCAAAAACCTTTGCCAAGCTGCGAGACGGCAAAGGCACCGGATACCGTCGTAATTGATGAAATGGAGTGGAACCGCGTTGCTACATGCGCTGCACCATCTGTGCAACGCATGTGGTTTGAAGGACGGGTACCAACTGAGCTGAAGTATGCCCTTGTGCTACCCCACTTTACATGGTGTGCATGCTGAAGCGACGTAGGCCAGCTCCGTTGAAAAAACGTGGCTCCCATTCATATGCCTTCCGGTCTTATTCCTTCGGGTTTACAGTGGGGGTGTAGATGGAGTAGATCGAGCCACCCATGGCGCTGTGGATGTCCCGTTGAGGTCACGGTGACGGGCAAATCCGGAACCGTGAACATCATAAGCGCGGCAATGTCAGTCCAGTCCGCTTATTGGCTAATCCGTAAAATGTCGGAGATTGAGACAAGATGCAGCCCTTAGACTGAGTTTCCAATTAGGACACAACCCGCTTAGAGCACTAAGGTATGGGTGACATTCAAACACAATCAGGCATTGATCACAGATCTGATACACAACATCGTGGTAACACAATGGAATCCGAGGCGGGAAAGAAAGATCCATTCCGGCGCGTACCAGAACAATGGACGCTGAAGTGTGAACATCGGCTAACAGGAAAAATGCCTACACCGAGCAAAGCCTAAACCCCGATAGCAACTACGCAATACGTTGCCTGCGGATAGTTTTTGTTGAATAGAATCGCAATGCAATAAGATGGAAAAGGGGAAAAACCCATACACGTTGTTAGGTAGAAACGGATACCCAGGCAGTTTCTTTTCGAGGATGCTTAACACTAGAACACCCGGAGCGGTCATTTTGACCGCTCAGCGTTGTTAAATGTGCATAGTTGCAACATGTTTAAAAGATATTTCGTGACTTCTAATATTTCTAGACCACTTTCATAACTTAAGTTTCATTTTCATAACTGTGGTCGTTTTTGAGGAAAGGAGTAGATGTGTTCGTACTACGGAGAAAGCCCGTTAGAGGCCAAATTGACGGCTTTCCTTTAATTCGGTTTCTTTCTTCATTTTCAGACGCCATTATTATTTTTGACAAAGTTACATGCAATATCAGTCAAAACGGGAGTGTGTTGGGTGGAGCCTGGGATACTAGTCGATGATCAATGACACGTAACAGCCGTGCCAAATACGGCACAGTATAGAAGCTGGAGGCGACGGAACCCAACGTATATTGTGCAGACTACAAAAATAGGAAGCGAATCAACCAGAGCGAGAAACGGTGCAGCAATGTACTCATCAACACGCCTTGTGTCAAGGGAGGTGCCGTCAGTAAAACAAGTGGATATTTTGAAAGTTAAAACAACCGTAAAATCCAATGTTGCAAAATACTTAAACAGCGTGTTTTCCGGTACACAACAAGGCCCTCCCCCTAGAAGGGTGAATGATGGAAGCCTTCTATGGAGCCTTTAGTGGGGAAAAACGGAGGGTGAGGATGGGTGCGAATAGTTGTATAGGCTTGAGCAAGGGCTTCAATGGTGGGGTGTGTAGCAGAGTTCGCTGGGTCCAGACTATTGCTAGTTATTATTTATGATGATCGTGTGGACCAGAGTGCATCATCGGTGGGCTGTCGGGGCGAGCTGGTCGGACTGCAAAAATTCTGGCTATTCCAGAAAGAAGGCCGACAGGACCTTCCCTCGGCTGCAGACCAGACGGTGCGCTTGGGAGGTATCACTCCCCCACCGCACTCCAGTCCATGGTCCTCGTCCCATGAAGAAATCCAGGCGTCTTCGTCCTACGAAGAAATACCGCGTCCTCGTCGGCAATGCCTAGCCAGCCGTTTGGGGACCAACCCGTTCGTGGCTGTCTAAAACCGAGGGCGACTGACTGTTCCTTGGGTGAGGAAGGAGGTCTTGGGTCCACTGGCGAGTCACGCGGGGTTGCGTTCAGCCGGTTGGCTAGTCACACGAGGGTTTCCTCGACAGTTCCGGCGGTTGAGATTCTGGAAGGTAGAACTCAGAAGGGGTGGGCAAGGGTTGGCGAAGTGGCTTGACGCCGGAGAGGGTACATGGCATGTATGATAAAAGCAAATACGCTTTTCAAGTTTTCAAAGTTTTGGGTTTTGTTGTCGATTTTGCGAAACGTTTGTGGATGAGATGCATGATTACCATTAAAGACGAAAATGGCGTGTTATTGGAAATAACAAATATTTACAAAATCTGAAAAACAGACCGGACGTTTGACCTGTGTACCGCGTCGGTCGGTTGCTTGGGGTTGAGGCGGGGTAGGTTGCGGGTCAAGCGGAACAGAGGGTTTCGGGATATCCAGTGCTCGGGAAATCACCGCAGGTGCGGGTGCTTGTGTGATAGCGTCAGGATGGGTTGCAAGTGGTTCGTCAAAGAAAGCCACTTTGAGGCGGTCGATGGACACCGTTGTTCGGTGACCATTCTGGTCTAAAGTGAAATGTTTCGGAGTCCGTTGCAGGACTCTGAAAGGGTCAGTGTACTGAGGCTGGAGAGGGCGCCGCACTGCATCGGTGCGGAGGAAGACGTGAGTGCTGGTAGCGAGTCCGCTGTGCATTTGCACATCTCTAGTCTGTTCACGGGGCGGAGTCTGGCGTAGTGAACGCATGCGTTGAGCTAGGGAGGATGCAAAGTTAGGCGGAGGCATACCCAACGATGCGGGAGGTGAGACGAATTCTCCTGGCAACTTTAGCGCTGTGCTGTAAACCAGCTCTGCTGGTTCCCATTGCAAGTCAGCCTTGATGCTGCTGCGAATGCCTAAGAGTACGAGCGAAACGTTTTCGGTTCAGCTAGGGTCGGAGGAGGCGCAGAGTGAGGCTTTAAGCTGTCTATGGAAACGTTCAGCTAACCCGTTGGCTGCTGGGTGATGCGCTGTGGCAGTGACATCTAAAAAGTTGCAAAACCTATCGAATTGTGAAGAGTCGAAAGGCGTTCCTCGGTCATTTGTAATGGTGAATGGGCCTCTGTAGCGCAAAACCCACCGGTACAAGAATGCCCGGATAACAGTCTCAACTGTGCAGTCTGTTACAGGAATGGCTTCTGGGCATCTGGTGAAGCGGTCGACACATGTAAGAATGTATACGAATCCGTGTGACGGATGCAAAGGGCCTACCAGGTCTACGTGCACATGCGAGAACCGAGAGTCTGGGGCAGGAAATGAACCAAGAGGACTGCGGGTGTAACGATGTACTTCAGAGCGCTGGCATTGAAGGCAGGTGCGAGCCCAGGAACGAACATCTTTGTTTACGCGTGGCCAAACGAAACCTTCGATGACCAGTTTCAAAGATGCACGGATACCGGGATGTGATAGTGAGTGCAGTGCCTCAACGACTGTGCGTCTGAAAGAGACGGGCATGAGGGGTCTAGGACAACCTGTGGAAGTATCACAGAGAATGGTTCCTTCCGTGGTTTGGAGGGGAACAGATTGCACATGCAGCACAGTGGACTGCAGAGTGCGCTGTATGTCTTCCTTTTGAGCCTGAGCCGATGCCATGGCGGCAAGGTCGACGGTAGGCAAAGACTGGAGAGTGAGGTTGACGCGTGAGAGAGCGTCAGCAACGGGATTGTCGACACCTGAGACATGACGTATGTCAGCAGTGAACTGCATGATAAAGTCTAGGTGTCTTGTTTCCCGTGGTGAATATTTGTCGCAAGCAGAGTTGAAGGCGAAGATAAGGGGTTTGTGGTCAGTCTAGACCGTGAAAGCGCGGCTTTCGAGTGTGTGCCGGAAGTGACGAATGGCTAGGTAAATGGCGAGCAGTTCTCTGCCAAACGTGCTGTAGCGGGATTCCGCTGGTTTCAGGCGCTTGGAGAAGAACCCAAGGGGTTGCCATTGCCCACCAACATGTTGCTGGAGGACGGATCCTACCGCGACGTTTAAGGCATTAGTCGTAATAGAAAGGGGAGCAGTCGATTTGGAATGAGCGAGGAGGGCTATGTTGGAGATAGCATCCTTGAGCTCGGCGAAGGCTGTCTGTGCTGTGCCAGGGAAAGCGAACTTACGTTCATTCCCTCTGAGTAGGTCGGTCAGAGGCTGCATGAGCTGAGCGCAGCGCGGAATGAAGCGTCGATAGTAGTTGACCAAACCACAAAATCGATGGAGGTGCTTGCATGAAGTCGGAGCTGGGAAGTCCTTGATTGCCTGGATGTTATCAGGATGGACTTCGATACCACACGATGAAACGAGGTGGCCTAGGAAGTCTGCCGTTGATTTGCGGAGTTCGCACTTAGTCGGGTTGACTGTGATACCGTGTTGGGTCAAGCGCTGGAAGAGAGTTCGAAGATGCTCGAGGTGCTCTTGTTCCGATGAACTGCCTACTAAAATATCATCGAGGTAGGAATAAGCGAACTCTAGGCCACGAGTGGCATCGTGGATGAAACATTGGAAGGTTTGTGCGGCGTTGCACACTCCAAATGGCATTCTTTAAAATTCAAACAAGCCGAAAGGAGTGATGACGGTTGTTTTAGAAATGTCATCTTTTCTACGGGTATCTGGTGATAGGCGTGAACCAGATCGATCTTGCTGAAGATCGTTTTACCTGTGAGGCATGCGGTAAGATCCTGCATGTGCGGGATGGGATACCTACCTGGGACGGCTAGACGATTGAGTGCGCGGTAATCACCGCAAGGGCGCCAATCACCAGGTTTCTAGGGGACCATCTGCAGGGGGCGAGGACCAAGGGCTGTCAGAAAGGCGGATTATTCCAAGTTCAAGCATATGCTCAAACTCCGCCCTAGCTACCTTTAGTTTCTCGGGTGATGATGCTGACTTCTGCCCCGGTATCAAGTAAGAACTGGGCCTCGGTATCATAACCCATAATGTAGATGAGACAACTATGGGCTTTGCCGACACCGTTAGTCGCCATTACGGGCCGGCCGGGAAGACCATGTGTAGCGGAGTAGCTACATGACTGTACTCACTTACGGGCTTTATTACTGAAACGCGAGTGGTAAAAGCAGTAACCTGTGGTCTGAGGTTTTGTGCGACGGGGCGATGATCCAGAGTGGCTGCGGTGCTTACGGTTTAAAGTGAGTTCCTCGATCTGGCGCTGAAGCGACGCTATCTGCGATGATAATGCGTCTATTGCCGACGGTCGGCTAGTCGTGCTTGTCGGTGTGGTTGCGCTAGCACAAAGCTGCTTAGGTGCTTTGGTTTTAGTCTTTGGCTGGTGCCGTTCGATGACGCTGTCTGCCAGACCTGCAATTGCTGTGATTGGCAGGTCACTTACTATTGCAAGAATAGCCTGAGTGCTTTCAGGAAGGTGTTGCATCCACAGCTCGTGGAGAATCCCTACGTCCACGTTGGACGTGTTGTTGCAATTCGCGCAACAAGGCTGACGCATCCTATCTCCTAGTTGCAAATCACTAAATGGTTGCTGCAGACGGACCTTGTCAGAAGGCGTGATTCCCTGAATAATAGCCTGTTTAAGTGCCTCGTATTTCATTACTAGAGGGGGGCAAAATATGATAGCTCTCACCTGCGAGGATATACTCTGAGGAAGGCGAGATATTAGCTGATTGTACATGGCGAAATCAGAAGAAATCCTACGAATGTAAAAAAGCATAACAAAGGATCATTCTCCCAAAAAGGTGGGAGGGCTAACGCAATAGAATTGACCATGACAGGCTCAACGGCGCCAACAGCGTATGGAGATGGTTCATCCCCTAAATAATCCATTGCAAAAAGCGAATAAAAATGTGGTAGGTAAGAAAACAACATGATCACAAGTAATGAATCACAAAATCACTGGAACGAGCTTACCAGAATGAAAATTCAAAATGGCGGACGGCGTGTTCTGGAGCGGGGTCACCAATTGTTGTGTGGAGCCTGTGATATTAGTCGGTAACAGCCGTGCCAAATACGGCACAGTATAGAAGCTGGAGGCGACGGAACCCAACGTATATTGTGCAGACTATAAAAATGGGAAGCGAAGCAACCAGAGCGAGAAACAGTGCAGCAAGGTACTCATCAAAACATTTTGTGTAAACGGATGTGCCGTCAGTAAAACAAGTGGATGTTTTGAAGGTTAAACAACCGTAAAATTCAATGTTGCAAAATACTTAAACAGCATGTTTTCCGGTACGTTATAAGTGAAAACCAAACGGTTCACGATTTCCCAGTGTTACTGTGCGTTCGGTCTGAGAAATAGCGGTGCGGTTGATACACAGTGGTTCGTAGGAGGAAAACAGCTTCCGAAGTTGTACGAAAACTTACAGCTATCGATTATAACGAGTTTGGAGACGAGAAGGAATATGAGTGAATATGAAGAACTCATTTTGTAGGAGTCGGCAAATGATCACAGTATCCCTGATAGTGAAAGTTCTGACTGCGACACTCTTCATTCAGACAGTAATGAGTGTAGCAGCCGATTCTGTATCCTCCAGTGAAGTCCACATATCGAAAGATGGTACGTTGTGGACAGCAGTGGAGCTCCGGACAACTACTGTTTGCAGGATGCCATCACAGAATATTTTCAAAACTAGACCAGGACCAACTGTTTACACTAAGAAATGTGTAAAGTGTGTAGAGCTCTCGGTTGATTTCGACATCATACACCGCACATGTTGAAACAGATTCAAGTATGTATGTATGCATGCAAACGGCAATGTCGGCAACGAACAGAGTTCATGCAGGGGTTTGAAAAACGTAAATATTTGGGCAGACGGGAAACGCCGATTACACTGTCCCACAAAATCCGATCCGGATTTCCAACGAATGATTGTTACACGCTTCTGCTCTGGATTGCCCTACCGCAGCTCCATCCGCTATGGGTGGTCACAGGACTTACGCCCGTAGGCCTGAGACCTACCACTTCGGTTGTTGGACTCAAAGTGGTCCCTCCTGGAGCAGCAGTACGAAGATCCGCCTCCCACTTGCGGAAATCCAATAGCCGGAACTATTCCTTTACGAATGCCACTTCCTTTTAAAAACAAAGTTTCCGCACGTCTGACTCGAATAGCTCAACCTTGGTTTTGATTAGATTCGTCGCTGCACTTGATGGACTGACCAAATCCCGGGTACCATTACGATCCCACTTATTTGTCGCAACTGCGCTATCATTCAACAATTCGAAGACACCAATTCTAGAGGTTGGATAAGGCTCATCTAAAGAAGTCAACTGCGATTTGTTCTGGATAGCATTTCGTTATAACCTGTAATAAAGTGAACAACTACTCAAAAGTGATGAACAGCGTCACCGAGTGCACCTAGACATAGCACCGGAAGTTATTGAGGCAGACGGAACTACGGGGGGCGGGTAAAGGCTCTGTTATCACAGTGAAATTCCCCCATGGAATCGATGGAGACAGACCGATGAGCGATGTAGATTTATCAAGTGAAAAGCGGTCAGAATTAGATGGAAAGCGTGGCTTCAAACTCTCCTGCAACGCGGCAGCTACGCCGTACATCGCCAACAAACGAATAGTCGCAATTCTTCTGATGGGCCACTGTTGGTAGGATCGTCCGCGGTAATTAAAGTCAGTCCTTTGAGATAGTCCGCACATCCGAACCAGTTGCACCAAACGTTTCTTGTTCAGTACCCGAGGGCACTCCCAATTCAATAATTACGTGTCGAACTAAATAGCTTGTATAATCATTCACATAACAGGCGCAAAGATACGCGTCGGCAGCAAGGATCTTAAAGGTTGGGTGCATGTTAGCGTTCAAACATAATCGAAGGGGAGACGAACCTCACTAGCTGACTGATGTGTGTTGAGGTAGACGGGGGCATTTGGATGACGACTAAACTGTTTCGGTTCGTAAGTCACTAAATAATTAAGGGGGATATCGGTTATGAAAATGTCGCAGGAGAGCTGCAGCTGTAGGTCTCTGAAGCATATATCGAATTCGATATGAAAAATGTGCTATTGCGTCCATTCGTCCACAACAGAGAGATCGGAATCCTCTGAAAGCGCGCACGTTTTCCCAACGTTCGCCACTACAGATTCGATGTATATTTCACGTACTGATTGATAACCCAACAATCGGCAGCTCAAGCACTGAAGTGGAAGCCAAGTTGACTCATAGTTGTTGGGAATATCCGCTCGTCGAGGTTCCCTAGAAAATACTTACTACTTGTCCATCTACTGAACTTGTCCATCACTGAACCCTCAGTGATAGATAGGTTTATCTCGTCGTCTATGGAGAAAGAGCGGCTGTCCGAGTTCATCTTCTCTGGGGCACCGTCATACAAGGGCTGCTGGATCCTGCTAACAGGTCCAAGTAACATTCATCCTAACAAGGTGTTGGTAACGAATGGAAGTTGCCGTTCGCCCCGACGCTGTTCTAGCTGCCAGTGGACTTCAGGGATTTCTTCTCTCGGAAGAATTCGAACTCAAGTGTCTTCGATATCAGCAAAATGAACATCAGAGGCCAACATCTCGCCATTTAGCTGATGGGGCACGCCACGGGGTTCAAAGATAGGCGCCTCAGGCTATAAACTTGTACAAAAATAACCAAATCAGAGCCATCCAGGAACGACGAATGGAAATCCCAAAGACGTGCGTCCAAAGATGCAAACGCACTCAATGTCTGTACTTTCAAAGATGCAGTATCAGCCTTAAACCCGACTTCCTGCAGGATGCCTTCTCGGACAAGGCTTATATCAGAACCGTTGTTCAACAGGGCGTAAGTCTCAATGAATCTCAACGGACTCACTAAAAGTACCAGGACTACTCCAAGATAGACTTTCTCAAAAGCAAAACTGGATGTATGAAAAAGGTTGGACGTCCTTTACGGAGAATTAGGTGTTTTTACCGCATGTAACAGGGGCTGGTGCATCCCTTTACATGAGGATAGTTTGCACCTCTTACTAGCTCGACAGTCTACAGCCCAATGGCTTGGTATCAAACAGTTGTAACACCCCCCTTTGGATCTTACGAGCTCCCACCGGTCAGGGACGTCCAAAAAGAGGAATGTTGGGCATGACTCCGTGTCTTGTTCTTAGTTACATATTAGGCATTCTGGTCTCCTGTGATGTTCCGACGAGGTGTAAAAGGCAAATTTACGGTCAGTGCATTTGTCACGCGACCGTTGCTATTGTGCAGCATTTTGAGGACACAGAATGGTCATAGTCGCCAGTTGTCCAAATCTGCTACGTGCCACTCGAGCTTCGGTAGCGACAAAGTCTCAGCGCTTTGAAAGATACATCCCCTCCCTCTTGAGCAAGAGGTTCTACTACTCTTACCGTTCTCGACTGTAGGGTGTTTGGCAGAACCCGAACCACTCGTTCGATTGTTGCTACAGAATTTAAATCAGCGGTAAAATTCATCCGAGATAGAGCCACATAACAGTTGTCTAATTTTGTGGAGAGACGAGTCAGAACGTCATGGTCTCCAGCAAGTAGTCTCAAGCATCTAAACAAACTATCGATTAGTGCCCTGGCAACAACCTGGCACTGGCCAAACAATTCACAACGAATGGCTCTAGCCTTGTCGTAGGCCTGCTCAGGAGGTAACATGACACATTCACTGATCGCCTCTTTTGCCCAGTCCTTGCAATAGTAAACCAAATTAAGCTAACATTGGCCACTGTCCTGCACACGACTTTCGACAAAAGACCCAAATTCTTTGATAGACTTTTAGGTGATTCCAGCGTTACCGTCAAAAAAACTCCAGTTCTACTCTAGGTTGATCGAATTGCGAACTACGGAAGGATTGAATTTAGTCGACAGGGAGTAAAGGTCTAGGTGCCGACGATAGGGTTTTCTGACAGTCGTCGATAAACTGTCCCATCCTCACACACTTGGTTACCGCGCTACAATTTGACTATCCAGTCCGCCAACACCTCCTTCCAACTCCAAACGTAATCTAGCCATCACTATTTCGTTTTCATTTGCTTTGATTGATTTGATTTGCTTTTTCTAAGCTACCAACTGTTACTTTTAAAGTTGCGCTAACCCAATGAAACCAACGCATCACGAGGACTTAAACTAACATTAGCTATACAACTATGCTGCGAACCAGAGCAAGAAACGGCATCGTCCGTGACAGAAACCAAATTCTCAACTTGCCGAGGTTCATCGTCAGCTTCCAAGACCTTCACGAACGGCTTCCTTCTTCCATGCATGTTCACGATTTAAATGAGAAGCAAATGTTGACGTTCTTCAAACACGGAAGTCCACCGGGCAATTGATCCAGAGATTCCGAGGACGTTAAGCAGTGTAAGCGTTAAAAAACGCTTGGGAAGTAAAGCAACGCGTGTCCCGCCGGGAAATCAACAAGAACCAAAACCGGAACCGAGATAACGGTGCTATCGAACAAAGTAATCATAGAAAAATGGTAAATGCCTTAACGATTTCCAAATTCAAATGCATAAAAAGGTCCTTCAATGTAAAAGCAATATCTGGGTCAAATCACTAAGATCGATCCACGAACCAAAATACAGTCAAATGATCTCGCACAGAGCATAGGGAAACATGTAATGATGTACAGACAGGTCACGGAATCTGACCAATGGCGGCGACCAATGCGGCTCTAATCAGATCAGAACAAGGTCGCCTCGGGTCAGGACATAACACAAGACGTAACAACTGGGCTTACGCTGAACAACTCAGCGCAGTGGGAAGGTCGTGAAACAAGTAAACGTCGGCAGTGTAAGACTGGTCACTCTATATGCAACAAGTCAAAGAGCATGTGGTCTGTATATGAAAAGCAGTTTCGGACTCATGTGAACAGATTGAGAGAGGTATCACTTGTTTTAAATGCAAATCTGAATAAGCAATCAGAAGTACTTCGTTTTGAAAAAATTAAGGTTTATTACACTTACTTTCAGTCACAGATATGCCCAACACATTGCTGTTAGTATATTGAAAAATTTATAAATAGTAGTTATGATAAAAAATAAAGTAATGCGGTCATTTCGACTGGTCCCCGGCGTTCTAGGTATAACGGCGGAGCGGTCTTTCTAGTGTTAGGCCACAAGACCACAAACGCTGAGCCCACACTGTTGTAGAACGCGACGGAAATCAAAAACGAAGTCTCTGTGGCGACCAGCAGAATCGTTTATTGTCAGAAGCCTTGCATATCTATAGAAATAATACCCTATTTCTTTCGCGTTATTTCATCTGGTTAGCTTCATTAGCTGCATTTTCTTCCTGTTTCATTGGCTCATGGTTACCCCATCATCCGCTCTATCGCTAGGCTGCGTCTCGATGCCGCTTGTGTTCTATGGCTGGTAACAGATTGGGCATATTTCCTCGGTCCACTTATCCTTGGCTAGTACGCGGACGGTCTGGCGTTATTAGTGATTTCGCGTTGTCAGTGTTTACCCATCGTTCAGCTGACCAATCTGTGCTTCCGGGTTTTCGATACACTATTGACATGTTTGCCGTGTTGCAGTATTGGTTTTCTTTCACGTGATTGGTCACTGTTTAGTCGCGTGAGGTTTCCTCGCTCGGGTGAGTCTGCTGTGTTCCACGATTAGCCTGTCAGGCAGACCAGACTCGGACAATTTCTCAAACCCCATGACACAGTGTCGGCTTCCTATCACGGGATTGGCTACTGACCATTCGCAATGATCCAGAGTCCAATCGTGTGAGGTTTCCTCGTTCGGTCGGATCTGCTGCGTTACATGGTCCGCGGTTAGACTGTCGCGCCAACCAGGCTCGGCCGTTCGCTCGAACTTCATTACACACACCAAAGACAAAAACAGATCGTTTTGTCGCATACGAAGAATTCGGAAAATATCGTTAAACTTAAGAAGCGTGAAAACAGCGGGGACATAAGTACCAAAATGCAGAAATTGCGAAAAGAGCTATTCAGGTTAAACAGGCGTGACATCATCAACAGAAAGAGAGAAAACATTATGCAACGTAAATGGTTTCAGAACAAGCAGATGAGGGAAACAACTTGGGTTAGAGCAAACAGAAATCCTGACCTAGAGAGAAGACTTCTAGAGTCTTGGTTCTTCAGAAACTATTCCAACAATTCTCGTATCTACCTCGACCCAGTACACCAACTACTGAGATGTCAGGATTTCAAGTGAATTGAAAACTACCAAACGACTGGACAAAGAATAAGACGGCCAGTTGCTGTGGTGTTCACCGAGCTGGACAATTACCTACTTGCAGCAAATGAGAACCCAACCCGAGCTACCAGTATTTCGTCGGATCTCCAACAAAATGGCATCAGCAGTACGCCGATACGCAGTACCGACGCATCGCTGCCGCGCAACCACCACCAGTTGCACGTGGGCTAAAGGTACTGCGAGGGTCGCCCGGTCCCTAAGCAGGCTCGAAGCCGCGGCCTCGGGCTTGCGATCCTCAAGACTACGGATCAGAAGGAAATCCAGATGGTTAAGTTTACATTTACTGCACCAATGGAGCTGCAACAATCCCGCTCACGCCGCGGATAGTTTGACAACACATATCAGTTACCTAGGTGCCAGTGTGTAAAACAATGACTGACCAATCGGAGCAAAATTATCAACATCGGAGCGCTAGCTGGCGATATTCACAACAGTATCCGCTTGCTAAGTCTAGTTAGGGTAAGCTCTATGTACCAGGATGGGTACATTTTCAGAACTTTACATTATCAACTGCGGACGAAGTAAAATGGCAACAAAAATGTAAAATTTTATAACTGGATAAAGAAAAGTGTGCATTGGTGCCGTTCGAGTAAAAGGATCCGCACTCTTGTGCAATGAATACACATTGATAGAATCACCGGGAGTTGTTTCCAGCCGATAGATAGAATTTTACGGAGACAATTGTTCAGAACTGGTTTTAACTGACCTAAAATCGCGTGGCCGAAAGCAACAAATTTCGACTATTATACAAAATATGGAGAGCACGAAGATCTGTGAACTTGAAAGTAGCCTGGAGAAAAAGTTGTTGAAATATTTTTACAAAACTGATATATCCGCAGTAGCTAAAGTAAAAATGAGGTTCAGCGAAAAGGTAACGGCCGACCTAAAGGCCTCGCCAGAATAGTACCTGTAATCATGCCACCAACTCGCCAGCGGTTGTGATGAAACGTTTGCGAATCGAATTTCAAGCAAACAGCCAAGCCGACAGAGCTGCATGTCCAGTTCTTTCAAAGAGACGAAGGGTAACACATGGTAACAAGACCGATATCAGATTACAAGTCTTTCCTTCAGGAAAACCACTGATTTGGGGCTGTGGACAGTCAATTACACGGCAGATGAGTTATGAGGGTGTTTGTAGAAAAACTGAGTAGGTTTGCTGCATTCTCGGTGGGATCGCCCACATCAGTGGTCAGCGATTATCGGATAGAGCACAATCGCGGGGTCAGTTGCGTTCTCACATTCGATCATAATTATCTTGGCTGATGAGTTTAGTACTTGTTTTATGATTATTTTAATAATAATAATGTTGGCGACGTGTGATATGGCAACTGGATCCACGGCACAACTAACAGTTCAGAGACTAAATTGAACTGTACGGTCACTGACGGAGATGAACGGACAGCAAAAACCGAAAAAAGACACAATGGTATATTGACACACATGATCACAACGGTGAGAGTGGGCGGGGGGGGGGCGACGGCATGGGATATGTAGCAAGCATTCAACGGAGTAACGCACAGATCGCTGCTGTGAAGCATGTAAGATGACAATAGGCAGGAACAATGGATAAAAGCGTAGCCTAAAGTGTGAAGATGAGTGCTCTAGCAAATTAATTGAAATGGAGGCTGCGGACAGGGAAAAAGGGAAGGGGCGTAATTGTGTTGTTGTTGTCGTCGTCGAAAAACCACAGTGATTCGGGAGCAAAGCTAAAAATACGGACAAAAACCTACAAACCAGTTGTGTGATCAAACAGGAAGCGAGGAGTGATGTCGATCGAAAGTTGCGTGATTTAATCTAATTCTGTAATCGATATAAATGGACATGGAAAATTGGGACAACAAAAAAGAAACGGCGCGAATTGGTCGATCGAAGATAAGCCATATCTGAGGAGATAAAGCAAGTATAGACAGCAGGAGACTACGATGTTCCATCGATTAGCGGAAGCGATGGTAAATAAAAAAGTAAAGACCACGACGTGCGCACGTGTCGAGGTCATGCCTAGCTCGTCCGCGTCAGGTGTAAAACCCAGGCAGTGCATAGGACGAGTTAGTAGGGCGGACAGAGAACGATCATGTTGGTGGTGTCCGCCCTAGTGTGTGTGTGTGGAATAGAAAGTTTTAAAGCTAAAACAAGCTGCAAAGAGCGAGGGGACAAATTTAGGGCATTGCATAGGCATCTGTGCGTTCGCCGACGGAGTAGCTTCCCTTGAATCCAGCATGTCCCTCATTCGGGTAATGACCTTCGGTGTGGATTGCTGTCGCTGGTACTGCAGTGACGTGCGGGTATGCAGACGCAGTAGTTGTAGTCGCTACCCCAGTCATTGTGATTCGGAAACCATTAGCTTGTCGAGTCACACGGAAGCGGGTGACCAGCTCAGCAATATACACGCCCATGGCGATTGCGCTGAAGACCTTGGGGAAAGAAAACACACAGCAGTGTAGGGAAGGGATTGAATGAGTATTAAACAGCAGAAGCAACTGCGAAGAAGCAAAGCAATTCGGTGTACAAATAAGACCGATTGTCCACCAGTCGATAGGCCGTGGTAAACGTTAAGGGGCATCAGATGTGCAGCGTAGACCCACCACCGTGTGAATCCGACTGATGCCAAGTGCCAGCAGCACGTGTCGATGATTCGCTGCTAGGAAATCGCGTGTGGTTACACGCGACCTGACATACTGTGAGGCCGCCTAAATCTAAATAGGAGTGCGGAAATTCCGGAGTGTAGAGGCTGCGTATCAAACTCCTGGATCAATCCACAACACGGGTCTACTACCCGTAGTTAGCAATACGCGATTAGACTGACGCAAGGGCAAATACAGTGAGCTCTGCTGAGGCTTGTCCGAAAAGATCAAACAAATCAGGATTTAGACGAGTTGCAACAGTAAAAGGGAGGACGAATTGAGTGCTCCGCTACGAGTAGAGACTGACGACAGATGGCTAGCTTTTTCAACCAATTTTGAATGGTAGCACCAGAGAAGTGGTTAAAACAGTATATCAACATCCGATGTAATTGGACCTCGCGCTCCAAACTGCTTCAAAAGGATAGAGCTAAGAAACCGCCTGCGACCGAGAGAATAAGGCGGCGTTTCGCCTAACAATCTCCGCACAGATTAGTTGGAGGCTATTTACTGTGATTGATAAGATTCTTGGTGAGAAACGAGACCGCAGGTAAGTATTCAATGAAGAACAGACTCAGTTCGGATTTATACGTCTAAAGGGGAAAATTATGTCCAGTGGGTGCCTGGTTGGGTTATGGACTCGTTACTGAGTTGTTCGATTTAATGGCTAAATCATTATCTTAAACTAACACCAAAGACCTGATCTATTGATAAAAAGAAGGAACAAATGGAGAATATGTAGCAACAGCTGGAGTATAACAAGTTGAGATTACAAGTAAACGATGAATCAACATCAGCTGTTTGTCACGAGGTAGTGAGAGGTCCAGATGCATATGACTCTCAGATTGCATGGAGAAATGTTTTCGTACGCCTCGCGAAAACAGCTCGGGTGTTATGCAGCGAACGATGCTAAAGCTGGTTTTGGAGGATGCGCGATTGCAGTCCAGATAGTGCGATAATAAGACGTAGTTGTTGGAGAGTCTCAGTTCGCCACTGTACAACCACATGGTAGCGGTTCACCCGTTTTGTAACAGCTGTTGCGAGGTTTACACTGAAGCTATGCCTTGTTTTCATTGTTTTACCTCATAAATTATACCATGCAAATGTCAAAAGAATAGTTTTGAAGGAATTTCTTTTCGATAAATCTCGTCAGGAAAACAAAATTTCGAAATACTCACTACAACAGAAGCTATTTCTAGCGACGCAGTGGTTTGATGCACAAGTTCTGACCAGAGAGAGGGGAAGAATTTTGGATCTTACTAGCTTTGACAATAAATGCCCAGTTAAATCCACTGTCATGAACCAATACGCGTAATTGTACTGATTCATCCTAGCTGACCAGGCTATGACCACAGTAGGGTTAAACTTTGCACTAGTACACACTGATTACACAGTTACGGCTGTAGCCGCTTGATTATAGTAGCTTCTGTTTTGACCAGTAGACGCTTTCTGAGTCCTTTTGGGCTGTGTTTTGATGCAACATACACTGCGTTGAAGGTATCTTTCGTTTGCATCTGATGTCCACTGTTCAGTAAGTGTTCCAGGATGGAGCCGGAGACATTCTTAGTCGGGCCATGTTGTAATGAGGCAAGGCAGTGTTTCGCTTTCCGCTTTGACAGACGTTTGGTCGTGTGTCCGAAGCACCTTACATGAGAGATACAATAAATTTCTTTGCAAGTACCCTTTTGATGGAAATTGGGTGTTACCTGCCCGAAAACACTGCACAACTCGATGCGCTTCGTCCTCATTTGACCATATCAGGTAAAGATAGCAGGCCTCGAATCCGGGACCATGGGAATATTAGCCGAAACCTCTACCACTTTGGCTACCGGGTCACGACGCGTAAGGTTTGGAACAACGGTTGGTGACTTATATTGACGGTCATTTTGAAGTGTACGCTGTATGGATGGATTGCGACGCGCGATTATAATGTTGCTCGCGATGTACAGTGAAGTGAACCTTGGTCAATGCGATCACTAGGACAGTAGCTGAATTAGATGGAAATTGGGTGTTGCCCGCCCGAAAACACGCGTTGTCCGTCGTGATTCGGTAGCTAAAGCAGCAAGGGTTACGGTTAATATTCCAATGGTCTCGGGTTCGATGCATGCAATCTCCACTTGATGAGATCAAAGCAGGTCGAAACGTATCGTAGTGTACAGTGTTTTGGGGCGGGCAACAGCCAATTCCCATGTGCTTTAATTGCGGCCCTAGTAATCGCAGTGACTAAGAGTCACTTCAATGTGAAGCGCGGTCCACATTGAGCTTGCGTGTCGTAATCCATTCAGACAACGAGTAATGTTTGTTTCATTTGTCGAACTGAACGAGGTACTGATAGATTCATAGCCCATATGGGCATGTGAACTAGTGAGCGTGACGAGAGATTATGCGAAAATATTTGGCTGAAGCGCAACACCGGCCGTAATACATAGATGTGGTCTCGAGATATGCAGATAGTGGAGAATGTGCTGTGGAAAAGGTTAGAGTAACAGGAACTGTGGCCCAGTAGTTTTTAATGATTCTGGTCATGCACAGTAACTAAGGATTGGCGCGAAAACAACGTTTGCGACCTTGAACAGCCCCTTTGGGTATTTCAAGGCAGCGGTGCACAGCGAAAAATGACAGGATAGGGGGGCAAAACTCACGGCTGAAGCAATAGCTCCGCCATCATAAGAGTGCATCGCGGCCGAAACGATGAACGCGATAAACCAGAAGACAACTGAGATGACGAGCACGCTGAACTCCTATAAGAGAGCGAGAGGTGAACAGGTTTAGCAAGCAAAAAACAACACAGACATGAATGAAATAGGCTACCTGAATAAGCACTGGGTTGAGTAAGCATCGAAAATCAAGCAGACGGTGAGCGTTTAGTGAGGTGATAATGAACATCAAAGCGTTGGGACAAACGTAGACTGTGGAGGAAAAGTATTTGCCGGGAATCCGTGTGTTCCGGTTCGGCTATGGCTGCCCGAAAAGCGCAAAGATACAAAACCGGTCGTGCAGTCCGGTAGTGTTCAGATATCATCGACCGGATTGAAGGAGGTTTAATCCAAAGTAAAGCTGGTACCTGGAAATTCAACGGTGTGTGTGCAGTAATTGTGTCGTGTTCCCCACCTACCAAAGGGCTTTGTACCAAACGCGTCACCTGCTATCAGCCCGTAAAAAACAGCGAATGAGCATAAGAATCTGTAATTCACTTGCAAACACTAGTCAGAAGACCGACTACTATTTCTGGACGTAGAAAATACTGAGAACACCAAGAGATCATGAGGCAGAAAGCTGTGTAGAAAACGCACATTGATTAGACAATGCACCAACTTTTACGATGCGGTAAAACTATTGTACAAAACGGAATCTAGTGCACTCGTTTGCCCACAGGGCGCGCAACAGTTTTATACCTGATGCAGTTACTGAGGAACTATAGACAATCAGCGAAGTCCATAAAGCAAGTGGGCACGCGGATAAAATCAATAAGCAAACATCTGAAAGAACGTAAGAGAAAATACCCTAAGATCTGTGTACCAAGCTTTTATACATTTACCATTTAAAGGCGATTGGGTTGTTGATGCTCCATCCAAACGCCGGAGACTGTCGAGAAGACCCGTTTCGCGGCTCATCTGTGAATATTGTACAAAAAGCCTTTGCTCGCAAAGCATTTAATAGATAGACTGCCTCCGTAGACTCGAGCGATGCTTAGGTATCAGTGCTAATATTCCCGTGGTGCACGATACATCGATAGTACTACGATTCGAGAGTACCATAGGATGTGGTTTAACAGAGAAGTAAAATCTTCTAAAGGCTCCATCACCTTCCCGAACAAGGTCCCAAAGGTACTGAAAACGAATTTGGAGTCGTCTAGTCTACTTCTGAACGTTTCTCGCCCGGATTCCAAAAACATCTATCCGTTGGGGAAGATTTTTACACCCATCTTTTCAAGCGGAACTGGGTGTACAAAATTGTACGCCTAGCATCTCTACCGTAGCTAGCAGCAAACGGAACGTAGTCGCTTGATTGTTAAGCCGGCCCGTAGCCTGAAGGATCACAAGCGTGCCTTGTAATCCGAGGGCGCGGGTTCGAGCATGCGTAGGGGATTGGTCGACCATCACAATATCTTTAGCCAACACGCGACTGATGGTGGTTGCGCGGCAGCCAAGCGTCGGTACTGCGTACCGGCATACTGCTGATGCTTTTTGCTTTATTGTTACCACACTTGCAATTTGAGTTGCTGTGAGAAATGATGTACCTAACTATCACTCCTACTTGACCCACTGTGCATAGTGCCCCGCGTGATTTATCTATCCGATCGTTGGATTAAATACTCAGACCAAAAACCGGCCATATTCGGCATCTTCAGTGTGTAATCACTCCTACGTGGGTTGAATAAAAAGTTTTGAGCTTGGCACAGAAATCAAATAGCCAGGCAAACCAAATAACGTTTTTTTAATAATCTACCACTTTCCTTTATTTATAGTATACGAACTCATATAGGTACCACTTTTACTTTCATTTCAGCGAATGCTCAAAGTGAACAGGGTCAGCAATTTGGTGCGCATGGAGAAATTGGAGCAGCGTGCAATGATCAAAGATTTCAATCTCAAAGGAGCGTCATCATCTGAAATCCACCGTTATGCTCAATACAATGCATGACAATGCCCCTTCATGAGCCGCAGTTAAATGTTGGTTACAAGAGTTTAAGGGTGGTAGGGAGAGTATTGAAGATGAGCGCAAGGTCAGGGAGACCATTAACCGCTACCACCAAAGAAAATTCTGACCTGGCAATAAATATGTTAATGCAAGATCACCGATTAACATCTCGTCAGTCAACACAGAGGTTGGACATTTCCCAGAAGTGAGCAGATAATATTCTGAAGAAGGAGATGGGTTATTAAAAAGTTTCTGCTCGATGGGTGCCACGTCTTCTGACTCTTGAGCAGAAGCGCATTCGACAAGTGATGTCAAATTAAAATTTGGCACTGTTTGAGGCAGATGTCGATGGTTTTCTTACTCGATTCATCCCCATAAATGAGTGCTGGATTGACCAGTTTTAACCAGAAAGAAAAGAACAATCAAAGCAGTGGGAGCGTGTATCAGCTCCTACGCCAAAGAAGACCAAGGTTACGCCGTCAGCTCGAAAGGTAATGGCATCCATTTTTTGAATTTCCGAAGCGTAGTGATGCTCAACTTCCTTGAAAGAGGCTATACCATCACCGGAAAGTAGTACTGTAAGCTTCTGAAACGTCTCAGAGAAAATAGCCCAGGAATGATGACTAAGGCATTTTCCACAACGACAATGCTCCAGCCCACATCTCATCCATTGCTCAGAAAACAATACACGATTGTGACTTCCAGTTTCTACTTCACCCACCCTATTCACCAGATCTGGTTCATCCTGACTTCCATCTATTTCTGAACTTGAAAAAAGCTTTAGCCGGCAAACATTTTCGCAACGACAGTGACATTATTGAAGCCATAGAAGCGTTTTTAAAGTGACAATCTGAAGAGCTCTTTTCCACTAGAGTGTGTTGCGCTTGAGAGTGATTACGTTGAAAAATAAAACATCGAAGACTCTGTATCGTGATTTTTGAGGCTCAAAACTGTTCATTCAATCAATTTAAGCCTGATGAGAGATTAACAGAGAAAAATAACTTCATGCTTCGGGCGTCGAGTAGTGAAATATCGGAACAGTTTATTCGGGACAATAACCGAGGTTAAATTGGGGTCGGAAATCAAGTAATTCCTAGACGTCCATCTTGCGGATTATAGATTTCGAGGGCGCATCGTACCTGAACAGGAAGTTGTACAACTGAACTACGGTACGGTACGTTATTTCGCTTGTATGTCCGACAATACCGAAGGAGAAACACGGACTATTATCTTCGCGCTTCCTAACTTCAGTATTCACTACCCGCTCCCGAGTGTCATTCTTGCCAATAAATATGAAGTGCCAACTTATTGAAGACAAACATCGCCGACAGTACAAACAAGCATCTCACGGTTATTAAAAACAAACAATTTATGCCGAATCATGAATGCACAGTGGGCGGAGAAGGCAAAGCAGATGGAATGATACGCTGGACGCCGACAACATAAGAGTCGCATGACTCCTTGAAGACCCTGTATTAATCCACCTTGCAGTCGCTGAGAACGTTACTTAGGGTGCTGCCTACACACAGACTACAGACATAATGCAGATATGGCGCACGCAGTTCGACGGTCTCTAGAATAACAGTTCGGAGATTGTTTGGGCCACGTTGCAGAGGCTGCAACACACACACAGGCTGCAACACTCCGTGAGCTGTTGCTCAGTTGAGAAACGGCGAGTGCATCGGAGCCGATAGGATATTGCCAGAAGTTCTGAAGAACGGCGGGCCGGAGTTGCTACACCACTTGGTGGAACGCGTGTGGCTTGAAGAACAAGTGCTAACTGAGCTGAATCATGCCCTTGTGCTACCACTGTACATGGGTGAAGAGAGATAGCAATGTACCAACATTTGTCATGGCATCAATTTGCAAAGATGCGATGGGAAATTGATAGCACGAATACTGCTTAACCGTCTCGTCACTCTGATTGCTGAACCGAACGTGGCTGAAGAGCGATGGGGATCCCGTTCGGGTTGCAACACCATAAATATTGGATTCGCGGCATGTCATTTGCGGGAGGAATGTCGAAAGCGAAACCAACTATTGTACTCAGCATTTGTGGATTTCGTCAAGACATTTGACACAGTAAACGGCAAGGCACTATGGCAAGTGTCGGGTGCATTTGGTTGTGAAAGTAAGTTTATTGGTCTTATTGAATGTCTATACAGTGGCATACGAGCAAGGATGCAGCTGTGTGGACAAACATAGGGTGACTTTAAGGTTCTCTCCGGTTTGAATCAAGACTGTGTCTTATCCTCTGTCCTGTTTAAAATTTGCCTAACTGCTACGACGCACTGTATTTTCAATTCCTGTGAATACGGTGTCCGTCTCGCGCAGCTAATTGATGATAGATTGCTGAACATCCGTCGTTACGAAGTGAGGATCCGAATGCGTGAGACAATTATCCGCATGTTGCTGTTCTCCGACGACTGTGCGTTGTTCGCATAGAGCGAGGACAAGTTGCAACGTACGACGGCAGCTCTCGCTTCGTAAGCGGTCAAGTTCAAACTTGACGTCAACGCAGGTAAAATTGCTTGACTTTTCCAGTCAACACCAAGATCCGTTATCTCCCATCCAATGGAAATGCTGGCAAAGTTTTGGAGAGTTCATCAAAAATGTCCTACCACGAGAGAGTACGCTGTCAAAAGACTTGCAGATGGACAGTGGACTGCGCACCCACGCATCGAAGGCACCGGCGGCTTTCGACAAGCTGGAACATCAGCTGACTATTGAAAGTAAGCTGACGGTATGAAAATAAATGATGCTGTCGGTTCCCCTCTATGGCAGCGAAACATGAACGCTGTGCAAGATGGACATCCGTTTTCGAAAATGATTTCACTAGCAATGACTGCGTCGGATTCTGTGCATCCGATGACATGACATAGTCCCTCATACGGAAGTGCGTCGCCGGAGCAGCATATGCAGAATTGACTGTATGTCGTTACCGCGACACCTGAGGTGACTCTCACATGTCCGATGCATGGATTCCACTAAAACACTGAAGCAATTTCTATATGGCCAAGTTAGTACAGAGTAGCGGAATTAAGGTAAACCGAAGCTACGTTACCAGAACATGGTCAAAGTGAGTTTGTCATGAACTAAC